TGCAATAAATATAATCCTCGAAACTTGAACTGTAATATGAACATAAAAAAACTAACAAAATGGGCCATTTAACAACATATTTGGTGTTGATATTCTACAACAAAAACAAATACTTTCTCGTATAAGGAAACATACAATAATTAACATTTATCACTTTTCACGAAACAATGTAAGTGCGCTGTGACTTTACATACTTATTACAGATTGTAGAACATTTTTTTCATTGTGTATTGTCATGTAACACCTACGTCGTTTTTTTTCTTTAACAACTGCATCAGGATCGAGAACTCTGGGCTGAGAAGTAGACGGCTTACTTTATTCGTCGTTGGTAATTTAGGATTCTTTGCATGGCTGAACGAAGCTCCCTAGGAAGTCTTGGATCTGATAAACGTCCTCTCATACGAAGTTAAATTAGAGTTTGCCTCAGGGGAACAATAAAATTTCGTCGCCTAATGGAACTTTCAGTCCCAGACTGAAAAAAAAAGGAATTTACAGAAGCTGGTTGGATACCAAATAGCACAAGGCCATCTTCTCGTTCTCTAACCAGTATTGTAATTTACACACTTCCGATCTAATGCATTACCCCCCCCTTCATAGTGTTATAAAAATAATATAGGATCTTATCAGGTTTCTTTGATTCCTCTACTATTTTGTTATCATGCTGCATAGATTGCTATACGAGAACATGTGTATTTGGTTTTGGAAGATACTACTCTAAGGCTGTACAACATAAACTTAGAAGTACCTGGCTGTGTTTCCTTCTTATTTGGAACTACATGTTGGGGTACTTGTTACTTATTTTTACGCTTCCTGCCGACATAGGTCAGTTGGTTGATGCGCAATTCTACATGTAATTCTACTGACGTGAACCAGTCATCTGCTGTGATATTTCTGTTCGTATAGACGAAAGCATTGAGCAGGTAGTGGTGAGTCTTTGCATCATCAGTCCATACTTATTCGGTTTAGTTTTCTGTAGGCACAGGAAGGACATCGGCCCACGAGCATCTCGTATTTTGTAGGGGACTCACCCGAAATATAACAATTTCGACAGTTCTCTATGAGTGTCTCGAAAATTTCACGTATTTGGAGAAATTTATCGCATTTCTCGAGTCACAGGGTTATTATTTTCCAAATTGGTTGCCACGGACTTTAGTTCAGGTAAATAATATTGTCGTCCATCAGACTCTTTGCGTCATTTCTCAGTTTAGATTCAAGTTCTTTTAGGAAGCCAATTTCATCTTGCAGTTCAGCAATGTGTGACATCGTTACATCAGTTTGTGTAGCAGCACTTAAAGAAACTTGCATATCTTCGTACTCAGCGTCAAGCATAGCTTCTAAGTCTGCAACCTTCTTTTTTGACTCAATATTTTGAGCTTCAAGAGATAGTTTAGGGCTCTCTGATCTTCCTAGGTTCTTCAGTTGACTACGCAGCATCTCTATTTCTGACTCGTATGTTTTTAGTCTTTTTATAATTTTTTTCCAGAAAATCGAGTCTGTGTTGCAAGTCGATGAAATTCTTGCGCTTTTTGAGAATTTTTTTGAACCCTTTCTATTTCTTCATTGTACGCATCCGTTACTTGGCGGAGTTCCTGACTGTAACGATCGATTTTAGAATTGGCTTCTGTGAGCTGTTTCTTCAGGTCCAAAATCTCCAGCTGATTATCTAGTTTAGTGAATTCTCTAAGCACATTGAAAGATTCTTCCAGTTCTTTGAGTTGTCTTTTAAGCACACTTGCAGGCACGTCTTCAGCTATCACAGATTCTGCTTCGGCTAGTGCCTCCTCATATGTCTCTTTTTGAATAGGCCTCATTTCACGTCCGGATGATTCTTCTTCGGGTGGATAATTTTTCAATGGCATATACCGTAGGGATGCTTTTTTAGGTGATACGTTGCCATAGTCTCCAAAAGTATGACGTCTTAATGTTTTTTTCGGTGTTGATGCCGAGGCTCCCATTTGAAAGCGCCCGACAATAGATACTTCCGTTTTTAGTCTTTCTATCTCGAGCAGATACTCTTGTTTGCTTTTCTGCATCTCTTCTAGCTTAATTGCCTGCTTTTGAGCCGAGTTTCGAGATCGCGAGTCAAGTTCTGATATCCTTGAAGTGCCTCTTCTGTAGCTGACAAGATGTTTACTTTCGGTTTATTTTTGACAGTTTTAGTGCTTTGGGCGAATTCTAGTGTAGATCTAGTCTCCTCCTCTGCAGCTAAAGTAACATTCCCGATAATCAATGATTTGGCATTACCGCCAAGAGCCTGTGAGAGCAGTCTAGTCAATTTCGAATCGCGATAACTGATAAACTCCTTCCCCTCGCTTAGCCTTATCACATTTCCTAATACTGACAAAGATTTGTTTATGTTAGCCCCCTCTTTAAGACGCTCACCAGCAGCTTTCGTCAGAGAAACTCTCTCAGAACCAGCTAAGTCCATTAAGTTAAGGTAGCTTATATGTACAGGTCCATCTTTCTGATTGGCATCTTTCGACTCCAGAATAATCCGGAAAATCGTGTGTGATCGAGATGACCTCTCATTTATGCGAGTAGCTGCAACTCGTCTGATCTTATTGCCCTGCATCATGTTCTCCATAACTTGATCAACATTGTCTACGACAGCTTCCCTTGCATCAAGCAGCACATTTCCTTTGATATCTTCTCTTATAGTTAAACCCTGATTGCTCTTATCCAGGAGGTCATTGATCTTTTCATTGTAGATTTCAATATAACTGCATCCAATCAAGTACCTCTTATCAACCTGGTCTGCCACATGCTGGAATAACTGATTGGATACTAATTGGAAAAGCCCAGGATCTGTTTTATTGCCCAAAATGGTGTGTGTTTTGCCAGAAGATGTTTGGCCATATGCAAATATTGTGGCATTGAAACCTTCCATGAAGGAATCGACTAAAGGTTTTACTACAGATCCATATACATCTGAATTTGTACATTCCTGGTTAAATATGGTCGAATATATAAACCTCTCCATGGCGACTACTTTCATCGGCTTCCCATATGCAGTTTTCTCTTACGTTCCAAAGACGCTCTAGACCATCGGCTACTTCGCGGTGGATCATTGGTCTGATCTTTATGGCTACTTTAATATTGTCGGAAGTCATTTTGGAAGCTTGGACTGAAATTTAATTAGAACTAGGGCTATTTCACGGGTTATAAAGAGGGGCAGATGTATCAGGTTGATACATTCTTTTTTCCTCCTTTCCAGTATAGAAGATTTTTTTCTCTTGTAGGCTATGAATGCGGTCCGATAGTTTAGTAGAGCTACATTTACAGGGTGACTCAAATCAAAGAAGGACCAGAATTGTTAAATTTTATATAGACTGTTATTGTTATTACAAAAAGAAGTTGAAGCAGCAGCAAATTCTCACAAATCTATAGATCCATCACTTTCAGCACCCGATTTTTCAACTTGAAAAATGCAGCTCGGTGAAAAATCACAAGGTAACTGTTGTCTATTCAGACAATACTCTTCTAAAAGCAACGCGAAGTTACCTAGTGCCTTACATGAATCGCCTTCATAATTCTTCATTATTGTCAATGGAAAACTGAAATTGTTGATTATTACAGTTTTTAATGCTGCAAATAAGCAGATGGGGTTCGTGTTGGAAATCCCACGTCTAATCTCGCAAAACAGGTTATCCACCGGATCTTACTATCAACTTCTGAAATGCCATTACTGTTTTTAGCCATGTGTACAACAGGTTTGTACGCATAAGACACTCTTACATGAAAACTGTTTATTGTCTAAAAACGAAAATACCCCATTTGAAGATGATTAATGCAATAAATATAATTTACGAAACTTGAACTGTAATATGAACATAAAAAAACTAACAAAATGGGCCATTTAACAACATACTTGGTGTTGATATTCTACAACAAAACAAATACTTTCTCGTATAAGGAAACGTACAATAATTCACATTTATCACTTTTCACGAAACAATGTAACTGCGCTGTGACTTTACATACTTATTACAGATTGTAGAACATTTTTTTCATTTGTATTGTCATGTAACACCTACGTCATTTTTTCCCTTTAACAACTGCATCAGGACCGAGAACTCTGGGCTGAGAAGTAGACGGCTCTTTATTCGTCGTTGGTAATTTAGGATTCTTTGCATGGCTGAACGAAGCTCCCTAGGAAGTCTTGGATCTGATAAACGTCCTCTCATACGAAGTTAAATTAGAGTTTGCCTCAGGGGAACAATAAAATTTCGTCGCCTAATAGAACTTTCAGTCCCTGACTGAAAAAAAAAGGTATTTACAGAAGCTGGTTGGATACCAAATAGCACAAGGCCATCTTCTCGTTCTCTAACCAGTATTGTAATTTACACACTTCCGATTTAATGCATTACCCCCCGCCTTCATAGTGTTATAAAAATAATATAGAATCTTATCAGGTTTCTTTGATTCCTCTACTATTTTGTTATCATGCTGCATAGATTGCTATACGAGAACATGTGTATTTGGTTTTGGAAGATACTACACTAAGGCTGTAGTGCTAGTGAACATAAAAACTTAGAAGTACCTGGCTGTGTTTCCTTCTTATTTGGAGCTACATGTTGGGGTACTTGTTACTTATTTTTACGCTTCCTGCCGACATAGGTCAGTTGGTTGATGCGCAATTCTACGTGTAATTCTACTGACGTGAACCATTCATCTGCTGTGATATTTCTGTTCGTATAGACGAAAGCATTGAGCAGGTAGTGGTGAGTCTTTGCATCATCAGTCCATACTTATTCGGTTTAGTTTTCTTGTAGGCACAGGAAGGACATCGGCCCACGAGCATCTCGTATTTTGTAGGGGACTCACCCGAAATATAAAATTTCGACAGTTCTCTATGAGTGTCTCGAAAATTTCACGTATTTGGAGAAATTTATCTGCATTCCTCGAGTCACAGGGTTATTATTTTCCAAATTGGGTTGCCACGGACTTTAGTTCAGGTAAATGCGTAATAATATTGTCGTCTGGATCGACCAGTTGCAGGCGCTCGTTTTGACCAATTGTAATGTTTTTTCCATAAGTATAGCGAGGTCGCCCATAGGAAGTTGTTCAGGTTGATCGCTAACAGCGTCGTCCTCGGCGTAGTCTATGGTGTATTGTTCATCCGTCAACAACGAAAAATCCATTGTGAAGGAAGTTCAAATCGTACACGCAACTGACCTCCTCTGATCAAATTTGACCGCAAAGTCAACAAACCAACACTTGTGATGTTTAAATTAAACTGTGGTTTGAGGTATGCGTGCTTATACCGTATGATAAGTCACGGGCCCCCACCACATAACTGAGAAAGCTCGAATCATCCGACGATACCATTAAACGAATCTATAAAATCAAGTGGCTGGGTTTCAATTTACATAGCTCTTTGTATGGTCTTGTTTGCTGATCAACATTATATGCTTTCTAGACATGATCCAGCTGTGCAGCTTCTTCACTTTCATATTAATGTCAATAAGAGCATTTAGCCATTTTTGAATAAATCACAAATTGTAGAAATACTTTGAGCATTGACTATAAAATGGAATGGACTTGATCCGTGAGTATTCTCCGAGCAAATCGTCTCAAGTGCGTTTTTGATCGTTTGCGCCCTGATTACAAATAGTGCCAACGACGCACAAACCAAGTCGCTGCAAGTTTGTGATCACATGAACAATAATCGTTTTTCAGATCTGGGATCTTGTATCTTTTACTAGATAATAAGCCACAACCTGCTTATAATTTTACGAATCGCTCCTATCATGGAAGTAAGGGCATGATTTCTGATAAATCACTTTTACGAGTTCTAGTTGATTTGTTACCTCAGAATTCAAGATTTATTAGCTGAAAAGTGTACACTGTGAGCGGTTACCAAGACTAGATTCACAATCTTAAGTCCTAGGTGCTATCGTGGTCCGTGGGATCAGCCCTAAAACTTTGTCCAAACCCTGCAATAATCGTAAACACTAAACAGGGAGACATATTTCTAGTTTAACTGCCTGAAGATTTTCTCTATGGTTTTATACGTAACTCTCCACCTATTATCTCATTTTTGTACATGTTCTGGGAGAACTCAACTTGCTCCCTATAAAATGCAACGTCTTCCTGCACAGGTGGTTCTGGTTAAGTTCCAGCCTACTCCGGGTTTGTAATTAGTTGTTGCAATTTACTGATTTCGTCGTCATTTTTCATAATCCAGATTTCGTTTTTGGCATTCCAGTTCAGCCATTTAATCCTGAAGCTCTTTTATAGTAGAATCATTATGGCATCGTATAACATTCCCGATAATCAATGATTTGGCATTACCGCCAAGAGCCTGTGAGAGCAGTCTAGTCAATTTCGAATCGCGATAACTGATAAACTCCTTACCCTCGCTTAGTTGCCTTATCACATTTCCTAATACTGACAAAGATTTGTTTATGTTAGCCCCCTCTTAAGACGCTCACCAGCAGCTTTCGTCAGAGAAACTCTCTCAGAACCAGCTAAGTCCATTAAGTTAAGGTAGCTTATATGTACAGGTCCATCTTTCTGATTGGCATCTTCGACTCCAGAATAATCCGGAAAATCGTGTGTGATCGAGATGACCTCTCATTCATGCGAGTAGCTGCAACTCGTCTGATCTTATTGCTCTGCATCATGTTCTCCATAACTTGATCAACATGTCTACGACAGCTTCCCTTGCATCAAGCAGCACATTTCCTTTGATATCTTCTCTTATAGTTAAACCCTGATTGCTCTTATCCAGGAGGTCATTGATCTTTTCATTGTAGATTTCAATATAACTGAATCTAATCAAGTACCTCTTATCAACCTGGTCTGCCACATGCTGGAATAACTGATTGGATACTAATTGGAAAAGCCCAGGATCTGTTTTATTGCCCAAAATGGTGTGTGTTTTGCCAGAAGATGTTTGGCCTTATGCAAATATTGTTGGCATTGAAACCTTCCATGAAGGAATCGACTAAAGGTTTACTACAGATCCATATACATCTGAATTTGTACATTCCTGGTTAATACATGGTCGAATATATAAACCTCTCCATGGCGACTACTTTCATCGGCTTCCCATATGCAGTTTTCTCTTACGTTCCAAAGACGCTCTAGACCATCGGCTACTTCGCGGTGGATCATTGGTCTGATCTTTATGGCTACTTTAATATTGTCGGAAGTCATTTTGGAAGCTTGAACTGAAATTTAATTAGAACTAGGGCTATTTCACGGGTTATAAAGAGGGGCAGATGTATCAGGATGATACATTCTTTTTTTCCTCCTTTCCAGTATAGAAGATTTTTTTCTCTTGTAGGCTATGAATGAGGTCCGATAGTTTAGTAGAGCTACATTTACAGGGTGACTCAAAATCAAAGAAGAAACAGAATTGTTTAAATTTCATATAGACTGTTATTGTTATTACAAGACGAAGTTGAAGCAGCAGCAAATTCTCACAAATCTATAGATCCATCACTTTCAGCACCTGATTTTTCACTTGAAAAATGCAGCTCGGTGAAGAATCACAAGGTAACTGTTGTCTATTCAGACAATTACTCTTCTAAAAGCAACGCGAAGTTACCTAGTGCCTTACATGAAATCGCCTTCATAATTCTTCATTATTGTCAATGGAAAACTGAAATTGTTGATTATTACAGTTTTTAATGCTGCAAATAAGCAGATGGGGTTCGTGTTGGAAATCCCACGTCTAATCTCGCAAAACAGGTTATCCACCGGATCTTACTATCAACTTCTGAATGCCATTACTCTTTTTAGCCATGTGTACAACAGGTTTGTACGCATAAACACTCTTACATGAAACTGTTTATTGTCTAAAAACGAAAATACCCCTTTGAAGATGAGTAATGCAATAAATATAATTTACGAAACTTGAATTGTAATATGAACATAAAAAAACTAACAAAATGGGCCATTTAACAACATATTTGGTGTTGATATTCTACAACAATAACAAATACTTTCTCGTATAAGGAAACGTACAATAAT